ACGAGAATTCAAGAAATAAAATTCTCGTTTTTTTTATTGATCACAAGGTGTATAAAAATATATATTCATATACATATTTTTAAATTAGATCATTCTTGCAGCGTTTACCAATACAATAGAAACTTGGAAGAAATTACGATGAGTGAAGCTTTTATGGTATCAGATCTTCTGTTAAAAGTATTAACTTTCTACATATAATGGAATATAAAATTAATTTGTAAAACATAAAATTAGAAAAGTAGTAGCAATAGATTTTATTTATCTGGCAATGCTAGATGAATCGGCTGTTAAACCAAATAAATTAGACTCATATAATATAAATTACTTTCTAATAAATCGATATGAATTAGTATTAAAGCTATAAGTAAAATGAAATGAGCTGAAACTCAAACCAGGTAGTAGCAATTCATGACGAATAATACATATTAGTTCCCGTAGATCCTATGAAGAGCAAAGGACCAATAATAATAAATGTAATTATTTTAAGACTATTAGAGAGTATACTCAGAGACGTGTAATGTGATGTAAACACATGAAAGATATTTATAATTTCAATATAATAAAATTAAAACATCATAAAAGATGAATATTATATCGCTGAGTGAATTAATGAATGGGGTACCCACAAATTTAACCCTATATCTGGATAAACCTGTGCAATGACACAACGAGCTCTGACGTGTCTTCATGGAACGACGGTAAAGAAGATCTAAATAAGTTTTAATAGGGCATATTCTGCCTGACTACATACAGTACAATAATCCACTATCCCTTGACAGCGGATATTATTTTAGATAACTTGAACTTCTTCCTTTGGAGTAAATCAGAGGCTACATATTTAAAGTATGTAGATCATTTCGTGCTTTATTTCATCTGATGGACAAAAACTATCTGATAAATTTCCGTTAGCCTGTCGTAAAAATGTACATATGTAAATCTCTAATTGTGTCTAGATATGTTAATTGTACTTATTTTATAATTTTTTTTTTTTCTATTGAAGTATTCATATAGTCACTTGGAGGTGAACTTTAACTGTCTAAATTTAGTGTGTTTATGCAATTGTTTTCTATTTACACTCTTATGACGTTTTCGATTGGTGAATCTGGATTCAATCTAGATTTACTTTTGATCTGTTAAATTTTGATGCTCAAATGAAAGTTGTTAAAGTAATCTAATATTTTTGAAGTGCTGTTAGTAGACATTAATATATATATCTAATAAAACCACACCTCATCTGTCAAGTCATATAAGACAACTGTTAAATTGGGATAATCTTGCTACTATGGCAAAATACCTAGAGTGTTAGAGATTTCCAAACCGAAAATGAAAATTGGACTAAAACTGAATCTCGATTAAAAAAGTTATCCCAGATTTACCAAATGGAAACGGCATTATTTAGAGAATAAAAATTCGACAGATAGGCAAAATGATGAATATACCTAAATTAATATACATATATATTCTTATGGCATATTTGCATCACTTTCTACAGACAAGTTGTGGAAAATGTGTTTGATTCGTATGATCCACATCTCATTCACTGCATTAGAAATATCTACACAAAGTTAAAAATCTGCTTATTCATATTAAGGTTGAAGTATACAAAATGAGTATCAAGTAGCTTAAATACAGTGCTTGATTGTGATGATTATTTTAATTGAATTCAAATAAAATTTTCATTGAATTCATTATCAGCACATTATCTAATTCTAAGGATAAAATACAGAAAGGTTAATATACTCCAAATGAATTTTCTCATCATTACGAATATCCTTAGTGTATAAAAATTTATAATTAAATTCGACAAGTGTGACTACAAAGCTATTTGATATTCTAAACTTGTAAGCCAATTCCGATAAATAGAATTTTTCATTATTCCACCAGTGCGAAACACAAAAGTCGTGCTCACGTTCTTTCGGAGCCACAGTCATGTATCCGCGAAATGAACATTTTCTGAAGTGATTCATCTTTGTTTCTAACCCAAAAAAATACAAATCGCGGCCCATCAATAACAAATCGACATTTCCTCTTGCACCTATATTAGCCATCAGACTCCTCCACTTCACTCCACACCACTCTACACCACACCAAATCCATTTATCGAGAACACTTCGAAGTTTAGTATTCAAATGTTGTTCTCAACAAATGTGCGTGTAGTTGTTGTTGTTGTTGCTATTGCTGTTGTTGTAAGAAGATTGTTATTTCTTTTATTTTTATTAACTAAACATTAACAGAATACAATTTTATTTAAGTATATTTTCTTTTATTTTTCATATTTTCATTTTGTTTATTTGCTGGTTTAAAATTAATGTATTTTTGTTTAAACAGTTTTCCATTTTTCAATATTTATGCGAGCGAACGTGTTGATATTGAAAATTCTTCGCACGTTCATGGGCTTTAAGGTTTATTTGCCGACTGCCGGCGAAGTTCAGTGCGTTCTTGGCCAGAAGAGAATTTTTAATACCAACTTTTTGCTTTAAAACAAAGATTTTCCTTTAATGGAAAACATATTTATGGAGCTTAAATTGTTTTAAGTGTTAAATGGATAAATTGTTGGTCATAAATAACATATCTAAGGCCTGTTTTGGATGCGTCCTCAATCGAGACTAGATTTATATCTCGTGTTGTAAAAGTTGTAAAATGATGCCATTTCTTTTATGAGTTTTCATAATTTATAATAGCTATATTTAATACTTTTTTTCATAGTATCCAAAAAACATTGACATAGTGTTAATTCATTTCAAATTATTGAAGAAATTAAAATAACGTTTAGCTTGTTGAGGAATATATTATAATATAACAGATATAGTATAGAGTAAGGTGATTCAAGGTTCTAAGTGGTTCTAAAACTTGGATTTTTAATTATAAGGTAGCATAATGGGATGTCTAGCGATCTTCGGTATAGCCTAACCTAACCCAAGGTAATTGATCTGTTATAATTTTTTTATTTTTAGATCAATTTAATTATTATAAAATAAAGAATAGTTGAAAACATTTCAAATTCAACCTTCTACATTTAGTAGAAATATTAACCCTGAGACGACCCAGAAAAGTATACGCCGCTCAAAGAAGGAACTGTGGTACAGAATATAAACAGAATGTTAAAATAAAGTAAAGCAATATGCTTATTAATCTTATTATACAGTATGAGTTATTGACAATATCTAATTAGATCTAATCAGATCTTCTCTGCGCATAAAGAAACCTTTAATTGATGGCACATATTCCGCCAGTTTAATAAAAAAGGGTACTAACTAATTTTTCATACTAGTCTCATAATATATACTATAATAGGAATTTGTGTTATAAAAACTATAACTATAATTAATAAGTAAATATCAGTTCTTAAACCAAAGCCACAAACAGATATCGAAATTAGTTTAGTAAAATTGTCTTTATTGCGTAGGGTAAATAATTTTTAAAGATAAATAGTAAAAGTCTTAAAAGTATAGTTTTTTTATTATTAAACAAAATAAATAAAGAAATTTCGTATTATTCTTCTTTGTTTTTTTTTACGATATAAGTACAACATAACATAATATTGTATTCAGAAGTAGTATATTTTATACCAATGATGACCTTAGCTGCCAATGCTGTATATTTAACCTTACTTTGTTTAATAAATAAACTTTATTAATTTTTTCTTTGTAATAAAGTAAATAAATTAACTTGTATAGCACAAATTTGATTTAATTAAAATTTAAAAATTATTCAGAGAATTCTGTGAAGAGTTAGCAGTTTTATATGAATAAAATCTACAAATTATAAAATTAATTATGACTTTTTAACTATATTATAAACTATATTAAAAATGCATTAAAAATTTTTTACGCTATCATTTACACATAAAAAAATGAATTTAAATTTTTTAAAAATATTCTATTATTTTTTTAAATTATTACTGGGCCGTTATTACGTTGTTCGTTAATCTAAACCATAAATATTAAAAACTTCTTTTTTTTAAAAAAAATTACACTTATAAATTTGTATTCTAGATATTTCGGTTTACTTCGTAGACCATCTTCAGTGTTATTCTATTGTGTCATTTCAGTGACCTCGAAAGTTTAACAAATTGTTTACTTAGAATCAATTTTTCATCCTTCTTAGGTTTTTTTTACAAACCATCTTGACAAATTTTGTGTGTTTATTTGTATAATTTATACTAACTTATTCCTTTAGGCAACCACTTCGATTAAGTAATTTAACGCACAATATAAATAAAACGCAAAATTTACATTTAAACTGAAAGAAAGAACCCCAGCACACCATCACCCCACCCCACATCATCATGCGGACAACACCGCAATCCGACCGCTTGGTAATTTAAAACCTTTATTTCATAGCCATTTCAAGTGGTTTACTTCTTTGTCAACTTTGAGCCATTTTAAGCTCATTTAAACCACATTTAACAGTTTATAATGTGCGATCAGAGCAATTTAATGGCCTTTGACTCTGTTTTTGGTCTTCGCAAACATAAAATTGCGAGCAAAAAATGAACCGAAAAATAATCACACAAAATAGACTTGCGTTATGTGGCATCATTAAAAAATAGTCAAAAAACGGAAAGGTTTTTGGATGAAAACTCTACTCCACAGTAAGTAACTAGGAAAGAAGGCGAAGACATTAAAACAAGCTCAGACTTTGACTAATGGGGAAATACGAAAAACACTGAAATTAACTTGAAACAAACGAGAGTTTAATATTTTTTTTTCTATTTTTTAATTGCTCCATTAAACATTACAAATTACAATTATGAATAAATTAAGTTAAATAAACTCAATTGACACTGCGTGATGTTTTATAGTTCAAGTAATTAAGTTAAGTAGGTTTTTTTCTAAATTTGCAAAATTAAAATCTTGAAACATAATTTACGAGCACAAATAGAAAAATATATTTGATCATATGACTCTTCAAAATATCTCATACACTGAAACCTAAAACTTTTTTTTAATCTTCTTAAGGTTTTCTTGATCAACATTTCGTCATAGCTTTATTTACGGTTGGTCACATTTAATAAATTTTTTAACTACGCCCGCGTATTCAGCGGATTTGTCTAGACAATAATCTCAACGCCGTCGCAGCCTTAAACTTAAAGAGTTTGAAGAGAGAAAAAAAACAAAAACAACAAACTTGTACTTAAGCTTACCTTCAACTTTTGCCATCGCCAACACAGATATCGTTTGGAGCGCAGGTATAGCCCAAGCCACCAAATGGAATAAATGTGATTTATTTTCGATTGCCTCGTGACCCCATTTCAATCCCGCAGCTAAAAACCAAGCAAATGCCAAACATGACCACCAGGCGAATGCAGCCATGCAGCAGAAGTAGAGCGCCATAAATAAAACAGTACAAGCGGTTGTTTGACGATGACCCTGCAATGGAAGTATTTTATTAAAAAATGGAACCAAATACATACATATATAATTTGATTAAGTAGTAACTAATAAACAACCATTCAACAAATTGAAATTAATTTTATGACAAATAACTTACTTGTGTTATGGTTGACATCATTTGCAGGCGACCCAATCTGACTGGCGGTGGGAAAGGTTCGCGACATGACACCGAATCGCTTGCGCCCAGCCCGGCTACATATGCACAACCAACGACCAAATAACAAACAGCAAGGAATACTATAGCCCGTTCCGGATAGCGAAAACGTGAAGAGTCTATTAAAAATGTAAGCACCTAAAAATAGAAATAAAAGTAGAAAATGTGAAAAGTTCATAACATTAACATTAGCTTAAATAACAATTCAACAAGTAGCATTTATTTATAATAGTCGTATAAGATATTTAAACGAATTCTCCATTTACCTCAAATATCATTTGACGTAATTTTTTAATAGAGAAAAACGTTAGCGTTTTTCTTTTCAAATAAATTTTGTACATTGAATAAACTGCATTGGTAATTGCGAACCGGTTTCATCGTGGCTATGAAAAGCCTTGGTTCATATAAGCCCAACCATAAACATGTAATCAAATCGCATACTGCCACCAGCCCCCCACTAAGTTCTCCTAACTTTGGTAAATAATCATGGCTATAATGTCATTTATTGCCTCTTTTGTGGCTACACCAGATGAAATTTGTTGAACTCATTTAAACGTTAATAAAATGGCTTGGGCTTTAGTTTAATTTTTATTTTCACGTTGGCTTTACATGGGCCGAACTCGTTTCAATGCGGTCTGAGACATAAACTTCAATTAGCTTAATAGGCGTAAATTTTCGTACATAACTTCTCTGCAGTAGCGCTGAACTTCTTAATCAGGAAATACTTACTCACATTCGATTCACTTGTTCTTTTGAATTATTGCGATAATTATAAAAAGGCACATGCAGCATTAAACTTAAATTTATTACAAATAAGAAAACTTCTTTGCAAAGCACTTGCTTAATAACTTATTAACTTCTAAATAGATATTTGGCTTTATATTATTTGACTCAGTAAAATACTAGATACTCTGGAAAATAATTTTAAACGCAATATTGCTCAATAAATTTAAGGAGCGACATCTATTTGTCAGTAGTTGTTATAAGACTTTGGAGTCATTTTAATAATTCTTTCTTTATAAGAATATACTCTGAATTTCATTTCCATCTAAAAATTCCGTTATGTTCAATAAAGTCAAGGAGCGACATCTATTAGTCAATAATAGTAGTAAGACTTTGAAATCATTTTAATAATTCATTCTTTAATATACCATAATATAGCTAGAATTTTATTTGGATCTATTAATCCATTTTATCTTTACGAAGTTGAGTTTGTTTATTTTTTAAACATGAAAAATATTTTAAATCTACAGTGATTAAATTCTTTATAAAAAAGGCTTAAAGGCATTGAAAACTCATGGTAAAATACTAAAAATGCTTGGTGCACTCAGGAAAATATGCTTTAACCACATACTAGTAGAATTGACCTAATAATTTTGTTAGAAAAATTTTAGCTCATATGGTAAAGAAGATATAAAAATCAACATGTTCGTAAGATTTAGTTAAAATCTGGCTAAATCAACCAAATTATTTTTCTGAGTGTAAATATGCTCTCTTAAAAATAATAAGTATATGTAAGTGAGAAAATTTGCTCCTAGCTTCATCACTATTGATGAAAAATACATTTAGAATGTTTTTGTAATAGTTTATAAATTAAAAAAATACTCGATTTACCCGGAAAGAATTAAAACTCCATCAGGATGACGCACCCGTTCACACAGTTGATAAAATCATCGTGAAAACAAATTAAATAAAGTATGAATTGTTCCAAACACCAGTCGATTTTCCAGATTTACTTTATCGTATTTCTAGCTCTTCGTATATTGGGTGTTGTTTTAGCAGCAAGAGAACTATCGATATCGATAACTATGGTGTGACACCTGAGAGTGTCAAATTATGAGGAATTTTCTGTTCAGTAAGATTTGGCAATTCATCATGAATCCTTTAATGATAGAAATTTACTTTGAAAAAAAAAAAAAATCTGTTCACGAAGTTCATATAGCACTTCGTCTATTTTTATCGAAAAATTGTTTTCAGTGATTACTCATTTCTGGTTACTTGGTTACATCAAAAAGCAAAATTGCCGTATATACAGCGAAGATATTCGTCAAGCCGTTGACGAATCATCGTCGGTTTTCTTTCAAATTGAGGAGGGAGCTGCAGTTGTGGTGAAGGGCGAGCACTATCAAGTCATGCTGACTGAATTTTTTTTTTCAAAAAAATAATCAGTTAAGCATCGACGCCATTTGGTTCCAACAAGAAGCGCAAGTTGCCATACAGCTAAACACTTGGTTTATTGCAAAATCAAATATTATTTCTAGAAGTGGTCAGGTCAATGGCCCTCTCATCTGTACAATTCAACGCCTCTCGTTTACTCTTTGTCATGCTATGAGCTATGTTAAGTCATTGCTTTATGTCGACAAGCCAACAACTCTTGAAGCATTAGAAGCCCATGCTCATGCCAGCTTCACCATTGACATATGGTCAAATTTATTGCAAAAACTAATAAAAAATTGGACTTATCGATTGGACCACAAAACTCATAACTGCGGCGAACTTATGAAGGAAATAATATTCAAAAAATAAATACCATCTACCAGAAATTATCTACCAGATTATAATAAAAAAATTTTAGTTCAACAATATTTCTATCTTGTATTATCATTTCAAGTTCTTAAATAGCTCACAAACACCCGATTTTTCAAAAAATTATTTAGTAGAGAATAATTTTCATTAAAAAAATATATTATAGCTACCATAAAGGGATATATCATAGAGTTTTGGGAAAGCCACTACAGAGATGGCATCCATAAATTGGTATTCCTAATAATAAACTACAGTCTTAATCACTTTAGTCTTAATATTGTTTCTTTGAACTTTAGATCTATATAAAACAAGTATGTTGCACTATTCCACAGAGCAAAACTATATTCTCACTTTTTCATTATTTCATTTATTTTTCAATTCAAACCCAAGACTTCGTTTTTTTCAAAGCTTCTTCAATTTGTTTTTCATTTATTTATGTAATAATACCACTTATATAAAAATAGTAATATTTTCACATTTATTGAACCCATTAATTTTCATTAACATGCAACAGGAAATATTTAATGAATTGATACAAAAGATCTTTTGGGTCTCTTCACCTCCATCTCCGCAACAAATAAGTACCTAAAATAACTAAAGTCACACTAAATACTAAAACTTCTATTTTGCATTTACGGGTTTGTATGTATATTATTCATTTAGGCACTACAATTATATGTAAATTTTGAAATGAACAAAATAGTACGTAGGCATACACCTATCACATTTTGTAATAGATAATTTTCCTAAATTATACTCCACCTTCGATAATAGCGAACCATAATTTGTAGTTAAAATTCAAGACAATACCAACACCCGTAACATTCTAGCAGCTCTCAACACCCCACTGTGACAAATGACTCTTTCGGGTTGGTAACTCTTTTGTTAAAAAGTTACAAATTGAATTGTTTAGCGATGGCATATAGCAATTCTACTGGGATTCGCAGCAAGTTTAGGTAAGAATACTGGTATCACTTGCAAGAACTCCGGAGCGGAATAAATGTATGCTGCTTCGTCTTTGGAGTGGTGAAAAGAGTTTAAAAAATGAAGTTAAGACAAATTTTTAGATGAAATAAAAATAAAATTAGAAGTAGCAACAAATTTAATTTGTTATTCTACACATGCCAAAAATATGTTCAAAAATGTAGGAAGAGTAGGGAATGCGGGTGTTGAAAGAGAAATTATATTGGGGGAAAAAAAACTTTATAGAATTTTCTAAAAATGTGCTAAATTATACGAAAAAAGTAATATTTTTTTTTTGTGGTTGGGAGTGTTTGTTGGTTTTGTTTACAATTTTGTTAATTTTCTAAACAATTTCGAGAAAAAAAAACTATTTATTTATGCATTTTATTATAACATTTTTCTTTTTAGTTTACAGAGTGGGCGTCACACATCTATTTAAGTCAAGTTCCATTGTTCAAAATTATATATTAGTAGACATATTTTCGGTTTGTTAAAAATGGTCATGAATAAATTAAAATATTTATTCTTATAAAAAAAAAAAACTGAGACTGAAAAAATGTAAAGACAAATTGTTAAAATTTACATAAACTTCATTGCTTTGGTTTTTATTGGGTGGGCTTGCATATTAATTCCAAGTCATTTACCAAACCAGCATATGAATTTCTACAAAAAAATTTATAAAAAATACATATAAAAGCTGACAAAGCAACAATTCTATTCTATTAACGATAATAATAGAGTATTTAAAATATTTCCTACACATTCACTTAATACTTCGATTTGAATAATTTCGATTGACAAAGTAATTACCACCTCAGTGGTTTTCTTACAACTCCGCCTTTGCGATTATTACTTGGAGTTTTTGCAATACAAAATCATTAATCCTTGTCATTTAGGCAAAAACAAAAATGTGAGTAAACGAAGCAAACCTCAAGCGACATGTCTAAATGACAACTCGATAATTATACAGAAATAAATACAAAAATATGCTCAGATAGAAATAAACAGAACTTAATTGCTGACAAGAACGACGAAAACTTTCGCTAGGAATCCGTTGATGTATGGTATATGCCGAGTTTCTGACTGACTCTGTTGTGTGGTGGCAGTGGTGCGATTTAGAATAACTTGTCAGCAAAATATCTGAACTCCAGCAAAAAACATAGATGAGCATACTTTCTGACGTTTCGTCTACAATCAAGCAAATGTTGAAATTATAAACACATTACGATGAAATAACAAAACTGTCAACATCAACATCAACATCAACATTAACAGCAACCTCAACTTCAACGGCAGCAACATCATCTTTTTATCGCATCTAACATCATTATCATCCTAAATAATAGATGAAATTTTGCTGTGTTAATTTCGCTTAGCGAAGCGAAAACTCGGAAACTGAAATAACTTTGCGTGTTACTTCAGTGCAAATATTTTAGTTGCAGTCATTGTTGTTGGGATTGCATTTGTTGCGGTTTGAAATTACAATATAAGTGAATATTCACTGCAAGGATATCAAGGATAATGCAGCGGAACTTATTTAACAAATGATGAACAACACAAAAACACAATTTACACGTGGCTTACGCTTAAGCTAAATACGATTACATGTCAAAATTTATTTTTTTTTTTAGAAATTTTAAGTTTATTTT